ACTTTGTGGCAGATGCTGGTCTATGTAACCTTTTGTAACAGAAGGGTTCTTTTATCATTTGAGCTTTTGGTTTCATATTTCTCATCTGCTCTTTTCTGCCAGCTTAGCTGAGAGTTTAAATCAAAACCTAATTAGAATACATATGCTGTTTAGGAAAAAGTTCTTGGAAAAGTAATGATTCATATAAGCTTTGAAATTTTCAGATAACATCTAAAAAGAAATTTGATTTTAATTGTTTTAAATAACTTTAAATCATCCTCTTACTCAAATAAAAGTGGTTGAACACAGCTCTTTGATCAAAAAAAAAAAAATTCTTCAGTAACAGAAATACCAACTCTATATTCCTATCAGCTATACCATCTATGTTTAATGATGAAACCCTTTACTGATATGCATGTTTTTCAACTAAGAAATATTATAACTCAGCCATAATATAATAACTATAAATAGCTATAACTCAATATCATATATATATCATATCATATACATACCAATATCATAAACCTCAAATCAGAAATTATCAAATTATATTTAATTTCTGAAAAACAAAAATCTTTGTGTACTTGTTAAGCACCTAGGATGTCAGTCAAAGTTTGCTTTTAACAATATTGATATAAAAAGAGTTGGTATTTTTTATTTTTCTCCTTTGATATTCTAGGAGGGAAAGTGAATTATTTTAATGTCATTTTAATTATAATGCATTACCTGAATTATACATTTCAATATTTTAATTAGCACTAGGGAAGACCACATTTTAAACACTCATAACTTTAACTAGGTTAAAGAAACCTGCATCAAAAAATGATGACTAGTGTCATGTTCAAACATTAATAAATATATTTGCCAAGAAAACCCTGGCCTCTGATACTTATCACAAAGATGTAAGTTCTATCTCTAAAAAAATTAAAAAAATTAAAAACCTTTACATTTTTATGTCCTACTTAGTCATTTGACCCAGTTCTTAATCAGAAGTAGCCAGAATTTTCTTTTATTCCACAGAGCAATTGCCTGCTGCCTTAAGAACAAGAACTTGAGTATTTCCCCTGATAGAAGGCTGACAAGTCTTAATGAGGAACTCTGTCTTCCAGCATCAAGCCAATACAGTTTCTGTTAATTGTCTGAATACAGTACTGTGTCACACTGCATATAAAAATGATATTCTGGAAATTCAGAAATTATAGATATTGTCAAGACCAATCCCTGCAATTATAATCACAAATTTATAATATGCAAAAGCAAAATTTCATAAATTTTTTTTTAAAAATCTAAACTAAATTTAAGACAGAAAAACAGAAATGTAGATCCAGACTTTCAGTTACTCCGTTACTTTAGTGATTCAATAAAGCTACAGCAATTTATTATGTTATCTAGTTGAATATGTAATGCATTCAAATATTTTTTTTATATTTACTGTCTAGCCATTACTGTTGTGTGACTATCCTAACAAGGAAACAATATAGAGAGGCATCGGACTTTAAAGATAGTTTCCAAGAAATAAATTGAAGATGCACTTATATTGAGACAACACTGATATCCCTGAACAACACATAAAGTCTACTGACATTCTAATAATATACAATGAATATGTATGTTCATTGATACTATCAAAAAAGTGGGTTTCCTAATGTTCTAAATGTGCAAAATTCTCAGCATTTTCTACAAAACTTTCAAAAACTCCAATGTAATTCAATAACAAGTTTAATAGTAAGACTTTAATTACAGGACAGCACTCTTAAAAAAAAAAAAAAAAAAAAGGAAAAACAGCAAGAAAAAAACCACTGAGTATACTTATATATTAAAACCAAAGCTCACCACATAGAATAGCTAAATGTGAACAGATAAGTCAAACAGCTCCTGCCTGCAAAATTCTGCAATAACAAGCAATTAATTTAAAGTATTCTTCAGAGACCAGGAGACATGTAGTGGAACACAGAATATTTTGAAAGTAAAGTTCATTTTCTTCTGGTTTCAGATAAATAAATAAAGATAAAGTCTGAGGTTTAGACTAGTGCATCAAAGGCATTTCTGAGATGTACTGTTTGTTATCACCAATAGTACTTTCAGGAAAAGCATATCTTGCTGGACTGAGAAACCCCCCATGACTTTCACACTTTGCTCTGAGAAGTGACTGTGTCAAGGATGGGGGATAGTGTTGAGGAGACATGGGGAAGGAAAAAGCAACACTCATTTACAAGTTTTAGGTTGAGTGTTATTCAGTGGAAATTTTATTGATTTTTATCATCTAATATAATTGGTGAACTGGATGAAAAGCTTTTTTTTCTGTGAATGGGGCCACCCTCCCAGAATGCTAAAGATGTCTTAAGTAGAAATATACTATTTAACAAGCCTTTCATTGCATTAAGCCAAGGTTTACATACATGATTATTGAATAAAGGCAGTATTTTCAGTATTTTGTTTAAAAGAAAAGCAGCTTACCACATAAATCATGACATGAACCAATAGCATGTGTCTAAACCACATAGCTAGATGTCAAGTTATTTTCTGTTCTGATTCTTAAGCTAAGAATTATCTAAATATCCAACACATTAAAATAATAATTTCCTGATTGAGTCTTATAAAGAAATATATAAAACACCAGAAAGCCCAGCAAAACATTGCATTAGTCGCAAAGTATTTGAGTTTCAAGTTTCACCTCCACACTCTTCGGAGTAGCCCACGCACAAGCACATCAACACACACGGCTGTCAGACAGCTGGACGTGCCATCCGCTTCTCTCTCTCGGCCACCCGCACGGATCAAAAGGCTCCAGAGGGACCCAAAAGCACCAAGTCAGGGCGCGGGGCAGAGAGAGGCTTCTCCCCTCCTGGCCCCGGCTGTTTGGGTTGCCTTGCAGCACCTTGGACAGCGGTCTCCGGGCCCACCGCTCAGCGCAGCATAGCCCAGCCCAGCCCAGCCCAGCCCACCCCAGCCCAGCCCCGCGCCAGAGGGCTCGTCCCCTGCCCTCCGCACCTGCACTAGCTGGGCACTTGCACTGCCCACCAGATTCCCTGGAAAAAGGGAAAACCGACTAAGTCGCACCCTTGGTTGGGGTTTTCTTCCTTTCCCCTGCTGGAATATTTTTCATTTTTAACACAGACTGGTCGGCCAAATTCTCAAAACATAGAGCAGTATCGTCTGGCACTCAGAACTGGAGAGATGTAGGTCGTTGGCACTCTGTTTGTCTAGCTCATTTAAGTTTCACACAATCATCTTAATGCCAACAACTTTTTCCCCATCATTAGACAAATATTCCTTCTCATTGGGTGTCTGCAGGGGAAATCATTATACAGCATACATTTACTGTTCTGTTCATCTTCAACATCTTTTACACTTTCATATTCTGTAGAGCAACTGCGCACTTTGCAGTAAAGTTCAGCCAAACTAAACTGTGACACAAAAAAATCACTTTAAGCAAGTAGATGTTGATCGTTTGGCAGCACAGAATAGTAGGTCAATTTCTACTTAAAGAGCTACTGAAATGGTAAAGATGTCCTTACAGCAGTAGACATCTATTTACATTTGACACCCTTTTTTACTTTTCCAATTCACTCTGGAAATAAAATGGATTTACATTATCAGTAACTGAGTACATAGTATATATACAATGAGTGTGTACACACACGGTTTGCAACCTAAAAACAGTGGAATTAAAACTACTGATGAATCTACCTTATTCTTGTCAGGTTTAACAAGAACAAATAAATATAGCAACTTTCCTACTTTATCCAATTAGATAATGGGCTATTTCAGCTCCTGGAGGGATTGTGGATTGATTTTTGTGGCAAAGACGTGAAAATTACACTAACGTATTGGTGAATGGGATTCTTTAGGCATGGACTGTTACCATGAAATGATTTGAGAAGGCCCTGCTGAAGTTACAAAGTGCAGAGGTACTCTAGGCCTCCTGTTCAGAGCAGTGATGCCTGTGCACTGTTGTGTTTAACTGCCAAAGCTGAATTTGGTTCAGACTGGTTAGCAGAGCTACAGTAGTTGAGATAATCCAGTTCAGGGCAGAAACCATTCACCTCAATAAGTACTGAAACGGGGAAAGAAGAATGCAGGTAGCTATTTTAGGTGCTCAGGACAACACTTTTTTCTGCCCTGTCTTGAGAGATAGGCCAACTAATCTTGTGCAAAAGTAGAGAGAATGCAACAACAAGAGACAAAGTAGGACCCTCTGCCTTCTAGCACAGGAAAAGAAAAACCTCTGGATCTCTTAGAGCCGTCACAAGTGGCACCAAAGAAAAGAGCTGTGTCTTATCAAAACGTTGTTACCATCACTTTCCAACCAAGGCTCATCGCGCTGCCCTTAGACAGACACCCTCGTCCTCCAGTTTTTCCCAGGTCCACAGATTTTGGCAGAGCGCCTGGAAGCACGGTCCCGCTCTCGGCTCCCGAGGTGGCCCGGCACCACGCCGCTCCGCCGCCCTAGGGTACCGCCGTCCCCGGGGCCAAGCGCCCGACGGAACCCATCCGGAGCCTCCGGTGTGTGCCCCTGGCCGCCGCAGGGGGACGGAAAGCCAGTCCTGGGGGGCACCGCGGCCACCCACCGCCCCGAGGGCCGGCGGCCAGGGCAGCACCGTCGGGCAGTCCGGCCTCGACCGCCGCTCCGAGCCCCGCTCATTGTCATGCAGCCCCTGTCGCTGCCTGCCGCCAAGCCGCATCCGAGCCCGCTGGAAGCCGGCAGCCGAGCCGGAGCCAATCGCATATTCATGAGGAGGGGGAAATCCAGCGCTACGCTCCCAGAGGACCGAGGATCACTTCTTTCTGCTTTTTCCCAAGCTTCCCCCTCTCTCTTCCTCCCTTTTAACAACGCGCTAACAACGGGGGCATCCCGGCCGATACACCCCACAGCTCCGCCTGCACCGTACGAACCGCGGCCGCCGGCGCCAGGGACAGAGACCGAAGCAGGCACAACAGGGACCACGGCAGCCACAACAAGCCGAGGGAGGCACGCCAGCCCGCCAGCCAGGGACAGGAAACACAGCAGGGGCTCCTACCTTACAATCCTCAGGACACGATTTCACCGAGTACTCATCCGACTGTAAATATTTCTGGAGCATAACCTCAAACTCTTCATATTTCTCCTGAGCGTGCTGGTCGTAGCGCTGGTAAGCCTGGACGCACTGGCTGCAGGAGCCTTCCCCCCTCAGCACCACATCCAGACTGCAGTTCAAAGTGTCCGGATTGGACAACCCGGCAAACAACTCCCAAAGTGTGTAGGAATTACAAAAGGAAAGGTAAAAATCCGTCAGGTCCCAGCCGGGCGCCGGGCTCTGCCCCGCGCCCGGCGGCGGCCCCGACCCCCTGTGCGGCCGGCACACCGCCTCCGCGTCCCCCACGCTGAAGCACTGCCCGGACGAGGACCCCGGGGGGGGACACGTCTCCAGGGGCCTGGTGGTGGAGTTCCCTAGGAAAGCAGCTTTGCCGTGCCGGGGCTCGGTGCCGTTGTTGCGGCTGCCGCGGCTGCCGCCACCGCTGCTGCCGGGGGAGGGCGGGAGGGAGGGCGAGGGGGGGGCGAGGAGCCGGGGCGCGGGGGGCGCCGGCTCCCCCATGCCCGCCAGCAGCTCCGGCTCCGCGGGCTCCGGCTTCTCGGGCGGCGGCTGCTCCTTCTCTCCGGTCCCCGTGAATTTGGCCTCGGCGCAGAACCACAAGTGATCAGAGAGCAGGACCGTGAAAAACAAGAGCGATGCCAGGGACAGTCGCCATTTCTGAGCCCTCTCTGAATCCGTGAAGGGTTTCTCGTTCTCCCGGGGTGCGAACCAGATTTTTAAGCCGTCATCATACTGCCGACTACACATCCAAGCACCCCTGGTCATATTTTGGGAACGCACAGCCCTGGCCGACTCCACCGTGAGGGCTCCTTTGCCAGTGTCACCACAATATGCATTGACTTAAAAGATTGGGGGGATTTTCTTGTCTGCCTTCCCTTCTCTCTCTCGCTCTTTCGCTCTCTCCCTCTTCCACTCTCCCCCCTCTCTCTTTCTCTCTCTTCTTTCTTTCTTCCTTCTTTTTCTTTCTCTGAGATAATACTGGTTTTCGCCGGTGGCTCTACCTTGGTCTCACCACAAGAAGCAGCCCCAGTCCATCCAACGCGGAGTGCCGTGGAGAAGATAAGAGCAATAACGCAGAGAGAGGAGGAGGGAGAGGAGATGGTGGTGGTGGTGGTGGTAGTGGTGATAGTTGGTGGTGGCAGGGCTGCGCGACTGGTCCTTTGCCCCTCTCACCCAGGCATGGTCAGATCGCAGCTCCCCATCTCCCTCCTGAGAAAATCCCACTGCCCCCGGACAACCGCATGCCGCGTCCCCCGCTGCCGACGGACGGCTCCGGGAGAGCTCCTCGCCTCCTCTTCCTCCCTCCCGCCGTCGCTGCTCCTCTTCCTCAGCCCCGAGCCGCGGCACAGATGCCTGCACCGCTGTCTTAGTCTCCTCTTTCTTCTCTCCCCCCTCCGCTCTAACTGGAGAGACGCTGCTGCAAGGCTCCCGGAGCGCTGCTGAGGATGCTGAAGAGGAGGAGGAGGAAGAGGAAGAGGAGGAGGAGGCTGCCGGGGCCGCCGCCGCTGCTGGTGACAATGGGCTGCGGCTGCCGCCGCTGCTGCCGCCGGGCGCGGTGTCCCCGGGCGCACGGGGCGGAACTGCCTGGCTGGGGGCCCCCGATGGGCACAGGCATCTTGGGCCCCTGGGCTAAGTTGCCGCCATCTTCGTCCTGGAGAAACACTTTTTTGGGGGGAGCTCTGCCTTTTGCGTCATCTCCTCCCGCGCCGAGATCTCTCTATCCTGGCGCATTGGCAGCAGCAGCCACTCTGTCTCCTCCTGCCTGAGGAGGAGGAGGAGGAGGAGGTGGGGGAGGCACTGGGGACCACATGGCCCCTCCAAAGGGCTTCATCGGTGCAACTCTTTCTACTCATCTCACCGAAGGGACTGCTCGGTACCACTCTCCACCCCTCTCTCCTTCCCATTGTGGCCATGGAACACCATGTCCATGCAGGATAGTGGCTGGAAAGGTCTGTTGCCGTGTCTGTCCTTGTCATAGCAAATCACAAATGGCATATGAAACTCCGAGCTCTGCATCCTGACCGGTTATGGCCACACAGTAAAATGCCTGATCACAGCTGCCTGTCTTTCAGTCAGCAAGCTGGAAAGGAAAATGACCATAAACTCCAAGCTGTTCCCCCAGGAGAAGATTTGCTGAACCTTGGTCCAGCACATGAGCTGGGTAAATACTACAAGTCTGTGTGTGTCCCAGTTTAGATGTCAGTGCCTAGAGAGAAAGACAGAAAGGTCAGGCTTAGCTCTCCTGCTAGGGTGATGAATCGCTGATGATTTCCACTTGGACCCACAGCAGAGATCAACCACCTTCTGTCCTTTCTCTGTCCTGAGAAACTGTTAATGGCCCTTGAACAAGGCGTACAATGTATCCCAAAAGGTGACTTGTCATATTTTTTGCTTAAAAAAAGATTTTTTTTCTTAACAAACATGACCATGTATAAGCTGATATAGCTTGGTGATGGTTCTCAAATTCAGCTTTGAAAGGTGTAGTCGAAAGAAATCTAAACCATACCAGAGGAGAACAAAACTTGTACTGTTTCTGACTGCAGCTGTCGTTAACTGAGGGGTGATCTTACGAAGGAATGTACTGAAATTTCTGTCACTTTGAGCAATAAATCAAGGCTAGATGTCTTTCAAAAGGAGACAGTATACCTCTAACAGAAGATGCAGACCCAAGGGAGGAATTGCAGAGAGAGATACTATGCCCTGTGTTATGCTGGGGTCAAAGTACATTATCATAATGGTCTCATCTGGCCTTAAAAGATCTTTTGAGTCAAATACTGCACTGGGCAGGAGTTATCTGTTGATTTTATTTTGATAGGCTATTTAAAGACACAGAAATAAGTGCTAATATTATAAGGAAAGGTCTACAGTACTCAAATCAATGCATGTTTGCAATTCTTAGTCACACCATCTGCTAATGGTACATTATTAATTTTGGTCTTGAAGCTTTGATTGCAATGATTTGACACACTGGACCCTGTACTGAATCTGCATTTTTGTAATGCTTTCTGTTCCAGGATGATACTGTGACCAAGCTCTTAAAAGGGAATCAGAACAACTTTACATCTCTAAAATGTAATGTCATTTATTTAGTTTTCTTTTGCTAGTTTGATTATGAATTTTGTGATAGAATAAAGGGACTGCAGCAGAAATACAGGACAAAAAAAAACCTAAACCAAACCATACACAACTGGGATAAGCAACAGGTTCCCGATATCAGGTTTGAGATTTTCAAAATGTGCTCTATTAAGATACGTGGCAGTGGCTGTGTAATTATTCTGTGTTTGACAACCAAACTTGGGGTGAAGAAAATTGGCATTGGGGTCTGCACCTGACAAACAGGGTTAATTTGTGTACTTTTTTTTTTTAATATTGTTTCCCTTTTGTCCTGTTGGGAACATGAGAGGATAATAGGCAATTTTACAATCCACAAAAAAATGAGAAAAGTTCTTTATCTCCATAGTGGAACTTCAAGAGTTGGAAATTAAAACATTCTGGCATTCAAACCTCATCCTAACTTAATACACAAATGAATTCCTAAGTCCACATTCCTCTGTTTACACTTGGCTAAGATCAAAGTACATATACTCAATCTGCTAGGATTGTTTAGATACACTTGACTTCTCAAAAATAATCCATTTTTGTGTCATGTACTATTTTCACACATTTCCCAACTTTTACCTGGAAAAACAGTGAGAGTTCTTTTTCAACACCTAGCAATAAACTGTAATAAGACTTTCAGTATTTTTGAAATGTACGCATCCTTGCTTTTCCAGGGGCAGTTTTCTGTAACAAAGAATATGTCACACAGAACTGTTGTTTTGTCTGTTGTGTTTCCCCTAAAGCCCCATTTCCTCTCCACCTAGCATGGTGAATAACTTGCTATGTTAGCTGCAGTAGCTGGTTCCTGATGGATATGAACAAATGCAGTTCAGTTCTCTGGTGCCCCTTAGTGTTAGGTCTTGGAGCTCAAGGGAAAAAATAAGGCTATAAAATAATACATGAAAATCAAGAAGCTGCATGTTGTGGAGGAAAGAATCTGAAACTGCTTTCTTTTACTTTTTTCTTTTTCTTTTTACTGTAGCTGCTTTCTCTCAAAGTTCCTTCAGTATTTTTTATCATAAATCTGATGTAAATAACGGCCATTTATTTAAAATAGCTTAATGAATTATATGAATGTGAAGAAAAGGGAAAAACCTTCCTCAAAAATACCATTACAAAAGTATGTACCTGTATTCATCATTCTCCTTAAATAACTCTAGTGGTGCAAAATACTCATTTCACTTTGAAATTTCACTTTTTACTGGGAATATTTATTACTCTTGTTCCAAAGCTTGGCAAGTGTGAGGAACTCATGGAAATCTGCCTCTCTAGCTGGTGGAGTCACCAGATGTTTCACAGACGGATCTCCTTAAAGTAATGTAGTTCAGTGTCAGCTCTGCTGTATTGTGCTTTAATCAATACAATCAGAGCTGATGTTCTATAATTGTTTGACTCATAATATGTAAGCTGGATGATTTATCAAGCAGTGAGGACAAAGTCCAATAGAATGAGCATGCACAAACTCAAGATACTTGAAGCTATTGTTTCACCTGCATACCATGTGTTTTCTTTGTGAAAATACTTTAGCTTAATAAGCAGAAATATTTGACATAACATTTTAATGGTAATAAACTTGTCAGAATAGAAGGCTTTGCTGTTTCTGCCTAATATCACGCATACAGTAATTTTCTGCATTACTCTCTCACATTACTTTGATTGTTGATTACAAAACTAATATCTAAAGAGCTGTATGTAGGTCTTTCAGATGATTGTAACTGGTTTGAGAGCCACATCTTGTCTTTGTAATGCATATTCTTTATACAAGAAAAAACTTACCGTGTAATTGCTAAGCATAATTTCTTTTTTTTAAAAAGCAAGCTATTTTTAAAAGAGTAGATTTCAGTTAAATTTTGGGTTGACTGGTTCTATTGATAGTAGCAATTGTTGCAACAATTATTAACAGAAATACTCAGTTAAACCCTTGCACTGGAGGCTCATCCAGCACTTTCAATACCAAGCTAGCATTATCAGGCCCTTTATTAGTTCCTCTTAATAATTCTATAAAAGGTTAAACAATTTGTATTCTATAGGAATATCTCTACAGTCTTCATAGGCAAAAAGATATGTCAAGTATGTGGTTTAGCATCCTCATAGTTATATATTTTTTGTTTTATTTTGATTTCTTACAACAAAGTTTGGGTATTATATTTCCTATTACTTGGGAGGGGAGTCAGAGCTTTAATTATCTGAATCCATTTGATAATATCCATGATGGTTCTAAGACACAAAGAAGTTAAGAGCACTGTAGAATCCATTTTATTTCTTATCACATTCCTAATGTTTTAGATTCCTATTCAGCATTTTTTGGAAAGCTGAATTACTGTGAGAAAGCTTCAGGCATCTGGGCCTGATTGCCCCAAAGCAATGGGAAATTTATGTTAATGTCATCAGGCAGAGAAGCTCCTAATCCCTGTTCGAACTGCACTAATTCAGATTTTAAGATTCATGCAGACTCTTTTTTCCTGCTTTCCACATTTCCTTCAATTTTGCCCCTTTGACTTGATTTTTTTCATCCTTTCTTACCGAGTTAGAGGATTAACTATCACCCAGTAAGTTATAGAAGTTTGTCAGACTGAATTTTAAAAGGTTGTGCACTACAAACTTCAAAGATACTGATGTTGTTAATTTGATTGAATTATCTTGCAGATGTTTGCTCAGTATCCTATGAGACTTCTTCTTAGAGAATGAGAACATATATTTGTTTGTTGACAATATCAGCCATAGAACAATGAATGGATAACATAGGGAGTCCAATAATTTCTCTCCAAAAATTGTAGGTATCTTTATCATGACATCTTTATAATGAGAGTTCAGTCATAATATTACATCCAGCTGGTATATTTGGGCATG